CCCCAAAACCCCAAAACCCCAAAACCCCAAAACCCCAAAACCCCGAAAATATAAATATTTATAGAATAATCTCATTTCTTAAATCAATATTGTGGAAGTATGTCAGAATCCTTTCCTATTTTCTAACCTGCCTTCTTTGTGGTTGCCTTAGCGACCAATTTCTTCCTTTCTAGCTTCTAAGAGTATAAATAAAGGAGAGAGTTTGAAATTAAGCTGGGATCTATTGAGTGTGAGGTTCAAAATTTGTTGCCTTACTGATTATGATCTCTGTTTAATTCTTACCTAATGTCTTTACACATCCTAGAAGCTCAAAGATATACGCAATTAAGCCTACTAATGAAGTATTTTATAACCAATTCGATTTCGAGGTTCATTAATTTCGCCAATTACTTCATTATTTATTACTTTATATAGGTAATAATGGAAGCCGATACTCAGCCAACAGCCCAGGAAAACGAAAGAAAACTGTGAAGCGTATGCAATATGTTCTACGGAACCAAGACAACTAACTTTATGTGCTCTAAATGCTTCAAGGATAGCCAAGGGTCTAGCCCAGGAGTGACAGAAAGTAAGTCAAACTACTAAAATTTAGAAGACTCAAAAATGGAAGCTCAATCTGAAGAGAAAGCCGTTGAGGAAGAAAAGAAGGAAGAAAAGCCAATCCAGGTATGTGAATCGTTAAAACTTTGACTAACCCCATAGACTAAGAAGAACAGATGCTGGAATTGCAACAAGAAGGTCGGCCTTCTTGGATTTACTTGTAAATGCGGATACATCTTTTGCTCCAAGCACAGACATGCCGATGATCATGAATGCGACTATGATCATATGGCTGATGATAGGGAAGCATTAAGAAAAAATAACCCAATGTTAGTGACAAGCAAGCTGGAGACTAGTTAAAATCAGTGCTCTTAAGTTCGTTCATTCTCCAATAATTTTTAAATAGAAGGATTAAACTATTGGGTGACTATTCAATCGGCTATAATTCCATAGGGGTTTTGGGGTTTTGGGGTTTTGGGGTTTTGGGGTTTTGGGGTTTTGGGG